TAAATGCGATCCAACCTTTAAGTAATTGCAATGGAAATTTTTGATCATCTTCTAAACATTGAAAATAAGTAGTCATTGGAAAACTTTTTAAATAATATTAAAATAAATTTTTTGAGTTTAAGTTTTAGCAAGAAGAATTTTTTGCAACCACATATTGACGTAGTGGTCAAATATGTTAAAAATAAGGGCGAGCCATTCAGATTGATGAAACACACAAGGTACATGACTATCAAATCAAAAGTTAACCAATTTGTATAGTGATGGCGATGGCATAAATTGACAAGTGAATGAAATCTAAATTTGATTTCATGTCATTGGGTTTTATTCTTGGTAGGAGTAATAGTAGTAGCAGTAAGAAGTAGTTGTAACTTAATGAGTCATGAATTGCTAGTACAAGTAATTGTGTCATTTTTATATTATATTATTGCTATTTTATTTATAATATATATACATGTATCATATAAATACAAATATTAATAAATTAAAGTTTGTTACTACTACAGCATTCATTGCCTTTTGTATTTTATAATGTGATGATAATATAGTAGTACAAAGTTATTACACAGGACTGTCTCTAGAAAATAACCAACTCTGAGGTCTTTTGTACATTGCATATGGGGCACAGAAAATAAAAATAGCACTAACAGCAAAAATAATGATTTTGAGATAATTAAAAAAAGAGATTTCGGCTAAGGTTGAAATTATAAGGAAGGGATGACATGTATATAATGCTTTGGCTAGTATTAATTCTATTTTTTTTCTCTGCTCCAGACATTGTACCCACAAAATTATCAAATGTATTATAAGAAGGAAACCTCAGTACTTTTAATATAATAATGAAACTTTTTTTCTTGAATTTTCAAATGCCTTTCATATATCTTATTACATTGGAGAGGATGATTCATTTACTACTACCACTAATATTAATGAGTCATCTGAATCAGCAGAAATCAATTCATTAGCTTCTACTTATAGTACTGTACACTCAAATAAAAGATGCTTTATTTGGAATTACTGTGAAGACCTAAGACCACATGGATGGAAATGTATTGTTACTAAAGAAAATGGATATATTTGTGGTCAATATTTTCCTAGCACAACTACAAAAGGATCCACCACCAATACTATTTACCATTTATTAAGTCATCGTGGTATAGTGAATCCAAAAACTGCAGATAAGGTATTTTATGGTTAAATTGATTAGGTAGAATATTTATCACACTCTCTTTATCTAGTTTGTAAATGCGAATATGGAGATGATTCAATCAAACACAACTAACACACCACCAACTGAAGCTCAAATCAACTTCATTCTAAAAAATCTAATTTAATTCTTAATAAAAGATTCAATACCTTTCTATGTCTTGAAAAGTCTCAATTTTCAAAAATTCATTTGTTCTCTAAATCTTCAATTCAAAATTCTGAATATAAACCTAATTAAGGAATCAATAATACATTTATATAATATTTCATTTGATGAAATTTAAAGCAAACTTCTCAATACCTGTCAATTTGCTTCTTTGACCATGATTTTTGGACTGCTTCACACCAAAAAAAAGGATATATGGGTATAACTTGTTCCTGGCTCTCTGAAGACTTTGAACC